ACGCCATTTTTGGACGTACCGCTGCGGCGCCGTGCGTTGATGAGTGTTCGACGTGCGTGAGCTCACTGAACCGACATGGAGATCCCTTCCTCTTTCGTTCTCCGGCAGCTCCCCGATACAATCGCCCGTTGTGGGATCGTGGAGTCCGCGCGATTGTAATGGGTGCAGGACCGTAGCCACGAACAACATGGCGCCGACATCGTGTTGTCAAATATCGTGTTCCTAGACCAAAGATGAAAATTAGATATTTTTTACAATTTGTTGTTCGATTAAAATTTAAAATCACGAAAGATTCGCCGAAGTTAATGATGGCAACTTAACAGTCGCACACAATCGGCGATTCCCTTGCGATTGATGAGAAAAGGTCCGAGGTTTTTTAAAATTTTATGAAGGCACCAAGCTATTGACAGTTCTATTTTGTAGAATTTTATAAGCGCGCTTCTATATCTTATCCGTGAAAGATGACGTAGGAATAAATATATAATATCGATCTATTTAAATTAAAATAAACAAGTGACTTGCATATTTCTTTTGCATGCGTATATATATTTTTCTTATGTTGTACCTACATAATTTAGATCCAGCAAGTTCTCGCGATACTTTCCTGAGTTCTAGGCAGCAGAAGCCAACGGTTCCGCAAGGTGGTGGCACCTGTCGGAACCGTAATCGCTTGTGCTGCATACGAACAGGCGAATTTCTTTGCACCTGAACGGTGGATGACGTTTTAATAAACGTCGGTGTTTAGCTTATGCATTTCATACCCTATCCGGTGCGTTTGTGACGTCAGTATATCCAAGGAGAACAAGAAAGTCAAAATAATGTAAATTTAACGTTATATTGACCGAATTATGTCATTTTTTTATCATGATTCAATTCATATAACATTATTTTGAAATTAATAGAAAAGCTCAAACAAACGAGCAGTTAATTAGGTCAAAAACTGAAACTAGTTTATTAAAATGTCAAAGAGAAATTGATTTTGCATTTAGCATTAATGGATAATTAGTTTTAATCTCTTCTTGACGTTTTAATAAACTAGTTTTGATCTTTGACCTAATTAATTGCTCGTTTCTATCAGTTTATTATATTTGCATTCCAAGTTCAAACTAGGAAATTGATATTATTTTGATTGTCTTGTTCTCTTTGGATAATTTTCTAATAGGAGGAGAGCCTTCTCAGTACAACCATAATAGCGCGGCATAATGTCTTATCGATCTGTAACGCTTATTTATCCATAACTGAATGAAGATTGATGAGCGATAACATTTAAACAGATTTCTATCTTGAGCGCGAGCAAAACGCGCTGATTTATAATTAAATCAATGTATGTTTTTATGATTTCATCAATGAATGTTCTTTCAATATTCCTTTCCTCGTTTATGGTTAAAAGCAAAGAAATTTGACGACTTCAGACCTTCCTTTCCTGCGTCACTTTCCTTCACGTTCCTGTCCACCTCCGATATTCGCAAGGCGAGCGACACACAGCAAAAATATACGATGTAATATGTAAAATACTATAGAAAAAGAAGAACATATGCGGTACCCCCGAGTGGGTTTCACATGATGACGTAGCGACGGAGATTTCAATTCCAATTATGCGAATTAAGCGAGATCTCTCTCGATCGGGCGTTGATATCTCCGCGCGTATGAGCGCGCCGATCCAAAAGCTTAGCCCACTCTTGCAGCGCATTTCGAAACGCTCTAATTTATTCACCTTTGTGCCGTGCACACAGTGGCGGAACACAATGTATGGTATTAAATATTACAAAACGACGATTCGTAGGAAATTACGATATATATGTTGCGATATCGTAATTGCCACAATTACGGGAGACTATGACGCGATTATATCTAACGTGAACGTTGTACTACATTACTGTAATATTTATTCGCTTAATGTGTGTACCATACTACGTTGTGTGTATTGTTATATATTATATTATATTATATTATATTTTAGTATTTTATAAAGAAGTATCATGTGATAACACAGAAATGACCCGCAAAGCGCGTAGTTTAAATTCTTTGAAGAAAATACCCGCGGAAGTTTTGAAAGTATTATATATTACATATATTATATTATTACATTATAATATAAATTATTATATTGTATGTATGATATGTATAACAGAGTTGGGAAATAACTTGTTAATCTTGTTACTTATAACAAAGTTACAGTTAAAGTTACTTTTTTCAGTTAACGCGATTTAATTTAATTATATTTTTTTTGTAACTCTCTAATGACTAATTTAATACATTTATAATTATTTTTATAATAACTTTATACTAAACTTATTCGTCAACATATGAACTGAATGAAGTATTTAATGAACAATCAATGATTATTTCTTATGATTAAAATATACAAATCTTTACGTCTGATAATCATTCACTCTGTAAATGTCTGTATTAAGTAAAATCTTTTTAGCATGTAAGTGTGTCTTAATATTTATTCTATAATTTTGGTTCCAAATGTATATATTGGATACATTAATTTAGTATAAAAAATATAGCATATAATAATGCTTAGTATAATAAGAAAAATAATTTAGTAACGTTAGAAATGTATAAGATTCCTGTATTTAAAATAACAATACAAAGGGTGTAAAAAATTAACAGAGAAATAACTGAAAAATAATGACTCGTTTTTAAGGAAACTGTAACTGTGTGTTACTTTTTGATACATGATATGAATCTTTCAGAAATCGAATTCAACTAGTTCCACAAAAACGGAATAAAGAAAATTAATAAAGTTCCTGCAAAACACAAACTAACAGTCATATTCATCAATGTGACAATTTTCTACTTAATAATATAACTGTCATGTACAACATGTGTTGTATTATATTTATATTGTTGAATGGGAAATTATAATATTGATGTAATGTTACTGTTAGTTTGTGTTCTGCAGGATTGTAAAGTAATCATAAACTTGGACATCAAAATTAAAAAATAAAAAAAAAATAGAATTAATTTCGACTTTTGAGAGTTTAATTCGTATAATAAAATACGTAGTATATTCAACAACTATACGTCATCGACCGGGCATATTGAAGATAGATTGTGTACAAGCATGCAACGTATTAATAGTTATGAGTAAACGTTGAGTAAATCTGGTACAAGGTTGCTAATGGCGAACTGCCAATAGTTTGCCACTGTTAGCTTCGTATCGGATTACTAGCTCTTCTTGCCAAATCAATGTGTCAGACGTCTGTGTTGCAGATTGATCGTTGCTGAAAAAAAACGGCGATTATTCGTCGTTTTTCGTATTGTAATGTGAATATGTTTTATTCCGAGATTAAAATACAAAAAGATATAGCAAGACATCGCATCTTTTCTTGCTCAAATATGCTAAAATATACTGTAACCTACTATCGGTACAGTAGTAGTCTTCTGCATCGATACTTGGGTAATTTAAAAGAGCTCTTGAGTGAAGTACGCAGCTTACGGACATAGAATCTTGTAAATAATTTTGAAGCAGGCAAAAGTATATACATAGTTCTAATTTTGATAATAACTTCTGAGAGAATTGCTCATCCCGTTCTAAGAGCTACAGCTTACTTTTAATCCATAACCGAGTCCATAACTGAAATATATGAATCCTATAGTGATCCTTTCGATATATATAATTAATAATAATAATAATTTCAAAAACAGTATTTTCGGAAAAAATTTTCAGATTCAATCTGCAAAAATTTGTTAGACAAAGGTATCCAGAAAAAATCATCTACTGTAAAGAAAAAAAGGAATAAAGAAACAGAATCCTGTCAATATTGTTAAAGATGCGATACGATGTCCAAGACAGTTTTCGAAAAATTATTCAAATCTCTAATTCAGATTATTAGATTAACCATCAAGATACACGAAAACCAATAATAATTTTACATTAAAAAAAATTATGTATAATCATCTTAAGTTTTGAAAAAAATTTCAGTTTATCCGGGAAAGGATTTCGAAATTTTAATAAACAGTCGAATAAAATTCAATACAATTATATGCTTTTCCGAAACTTTAAAAGCAGGTTTGGATAAATTAATATTTTTTTTCTTAAATTAAGTTAAAATTAATGGCTTATAAAATTAATTTAGTTCAGTTAAAAGTTAAGTGAACAAAAAACTAATTTGGTTAAAGAGAGAAGTTACGTTGAATTAACTCAAATTAAATTAAATTTAATTTTGAAAAATATTATTTTTATTAAATCAGAATATTCTAATTTATTTTAAAATCAAATTATTCTGAATGACAAAACAATTTGAATTATAGATTGTCTCAAATAAATTAAATATTTTATTTTCAAATTATATGAAAAATAACAAAAATATTTCTTATATAATAAAAAACTAATTTGTAGTGTTTCTACAGGTATTTTCATATTTTGATATTTATATTATAAAAAAATAACATGTAACTTTTAAATATTCTTGTTCTCCTTTTGCGCTGGTCAAACCTGCACATTCTTTAAAAATTATATGTAAATAAAAAGTTTTTATTCTTTCATTAATACTCATTAGACGTAAAAGAAGGATAATATGACGAATAGTATTGATAATTGATTTCCTAAATGTAGATTCAACCCACGTTCATTGGGCATTACGAACGTTGCGCCCACAATTATTGAGTTTTTTCTAAATCTAATTTAATTTTCTAATCAGTTTAAGATTTTATAGAAAATAATATTGACTTTTATAGAGAGATAAAAGAACTTTAACTTAAAAAGAAAAAGATTAATGAATAAAAAATAGGTAAAAGTAACTAAACTAAGTTAAAAGTTATTAACTTTTTAACTTTTAACTTATTAACTAGATGCCACCCAAATTTACTTAAAAAACACGTGACTGTGTGCCGCGCAGACTTTTGCCCTGGTCTGACCAGGGTAATTTGGTCAATTTTTGACTTACTACACCATATCGCATCTATATAGAGTTTGGCAGGGCGCCGGCGCCGTTTTCTATAAATAGCGGGTGCAACGCTGACCGCCGCTCGCGACGGTTAAAGTAGCGACAGAGACGAGGCGAGAGAGCGTTGGGAATCGCGCGGGGGACGAGGAAGTGGTTACGGACAGCGAGTGGTGCGACGGCAGTAGTAACGGGTAGTAGTCCAGACCGCAGTAGTAACGGTTCGCTACTCGCGCGGCGCTTTTCAGCTCCGCTCCGCTTGGCTCCGCTGCGGCCGCGACGACGATCAATCGAGCCGGCGGGAGGGTGCGACGCGCTCGTATACTCCGGATTTCCTCCTCTAAGGAAAAAAAACCTTCGTCTCTCGAAGTCCGGAGGTGCCTCGATCGGTTGTAAATCGAGGAGCGAAGCTGAATCGTGAATATACTTTGGTCTCCAACAAATTGACCCTGCAAAGTCTTGGACTCCACGTAAATCGCGAGAGAGAGAGAGAGAGAGAGGGGGGAGGGAGAGAGGAGAAAGAGAGAGAGAGACTTGGGACGACGAGGGACGGGGATACCCCATTGCTGGATTCGCAGGGTTGGTCCTGGCCGTAGCCGGTGGGGTAGCAAAACGCGAGAGTGCCGTCGTGTGTCACCCTCTCCCGCTCGACTATGTGCCGGCGTTTCGCGATCAGGACACCGGGATCATCGCCGTCGGTGATCAACGTCGTCGCGACGTCGACGGAGCGCAAAACGTGAGACCCGTCGTTTATACGCGTCAGCTGATCCGACGTAAGCCGCGAGGGACAAAGGAGGTGATTATGTAAACGGAGCTCAGCGCTGGAGGTCCGCGGTGGCGGCCCGTCGCACGCTCGTCGTCGCCGTCCCGTCGGCGACCGGTGAATTCCCTCCCCGGTGAAAGAGAGACTAATTATATTCGCCTCGTGGGACGAGGTTACTAACCAGCCAACCCTCCGGCCTGCGCCTGCGTGCGTGACCAGGCGTTTTCCTCTCGAGAGGGAATACGAATGACGGCGCTTTAGACGCGTGGGATAAGATTGAAAAATAATCAACGTAATGAGAAAATCTCGGATTCTTTTCCGTCCAATCTGCTAGACGTTTAAAATATCGTGGAATCAATATTTAAAAAAATATCAGGCCTTATATTTAAGGCGCTTCCTTAAATTTATCTTCAGATACTCTACGAATACTTATTACATTGGCTACTGAGCATCTAAAGATAAAATTAAGGAAGCCTTAAGTACAAGGTCTGACTATGAATACAGGCAATAAACTATTTTGTAGACGTTTTCAAAATTTTTAAAACTTTAGCATCTGTCATCTGGTTATGATTGAAAATTTGAGTTGAAAACTTGGAGAAATTCTAAAATTAAAAATCCAAATCTTTAAGAGCTATTTGGACGTTGAGATCTTTAGTAGTTAATATTTAAACATCACGTTTGCGAAATTAAAAATCGGGGTTTAAAATTTTAAACGTACTCAAAATTTAAGGCTTTAGCATCTGTGATCTGATTGTGCGATCTAAACGCTACGACCAAAATGCAAAGAACCAATTACAGTCGAGATTAATAGACCTATTGTGTAACTTTTTAACGACAATTTTAGTCGCTAGGAATCTCGTTGCGCAGGTATTTTACATGATGAAAAAACTGCACAACGACAGTATAACGATACCGAACTGTCGTTGAAAGTTACAGAATAGGCTTATAAATCTTGATACCTAATCATTACTAATCTTTAATATACGATTCGATTATTCATGTTCTGTACATTTCTTTTTTTTTTATCTAAAAGTATTTGGCTAAATACTGATTTGTACCTTTTCCTTTATTTTTTAATACATCACTTTATAAATACTTTCTACAGATGTTAAAGTATATATAACAATCACTTAATAATTTTTGCATATTTGTAAGAGATGATGAAAATTAACTCAAGACATAAACGACCCATCGAGTGCAGTAAAAAATCGGAATATTATTATCATGTATATTACGGGTTAAATTGACGATTAATGTAATTTGTGATATTATTTCCGCTTTAATTTATGATTGCGTTTCAAGTCCGACAGTAATTGGTACGCAATTCTACATAATTGGAAAATGTTTCAGTAAATACAAAGTAACAGTAACATAACATCAAAGTTATAATTTCACACTCGATATAACTGTTATGTACGTGTTACATTTATGTTAAGTGTGAAATTATAACATTGGTGTTATATCACTGTATTTATCGGAGTATTTAAAATATTTACGTATAAATGTTATTATAAACACTAAAATCTAATCTCAATTATATTTCGCCTTTCTTTATTTAAATGATTTATTCATGTAATGGTCTTGTTTAATTTATTACGTACGTTAAAGTCAGGAATTTTTGAAGTATAGTAAAGATTTAAGGATAACAGTTATTGAAATGAATACTCATTAAGCTTTGATTGATTTCGATTTGAATCATGTAATAAAAAAAATCAATTGATTATAAAATTATCAATTGATTATAAAATTATCAATTGATTATATTAAATAAATCTGTAATTCAAATGCCTCAGACGATTATGGAACGGAAGATTTATGAGTAGGGAGGGGACCGATTATGACTTTCCTCCGGCTAGTTTTATTCCACGATCGCGCTACTTCGGCGCGTCCATCACGCATAACTTTGACATATCACGCCACGACAGTAAATCCAAATCGATCAGCACATTCCCAAAGTATTCGTCTCGCTGGATGCATGAAAAATTGCACATTGTACTAACTTCCGAAAGATCCGTTCGACGCGTCTTTCTGACGAGGACCGTAACCCATCTGGCAAGTAAGGCGGTGGTTACTCCGCTTAAATTATACATTCCGATTATTTCTCTGTACCTCATAGATCCACAATGGCTCTAGTAATGTTACCGTGTGACCTGCCTTGGTGGCCAGCTGTTGTAAAGCAATTGGACAAGGCCGCCTCGGCTAAAAACTCAGAGGACCTAGTAGACGCGATGCAACGATTGCATGACATGTGCAAGTACGACTCGCATTACTTACTTTTCGTTCTCATCGCCTCTTAACGCACATTATGTTTTTATATTTAATATGTATTTATATAAATATTTAATATTTGCTTTTCTAAATGAAATTCTATTTCAGAGTAATGCTACATGGAAAGAACGATTTGGCTGAAATATCTAAAAATTTAATTAGATACAGATCTGAAAATAATTTCATAATTGTATGAGACCGTCAAAATAGTTACGTGGAAATCTCAAAATGATGAGTAATGATGCAAAAAATTTTAACATTCTAGCAACCAATTTGAGTGTCTCATATAATTATTTTGATAGTTCAACACAATTATTTTCAAATCTGTATCTAAATATTTGGATATATTTAAAACCATTCTTTTATCGCTTCCTTACTTTAAAAATGACACAACTAAAAAAAATGTGACTTTTAAATTACCACGAATAAGTTATAATAAACATTACTCTCAAATCAAATATCAAAAGTGAACTAAAATCGTCACAACTAAAAAATGGTGGTTTTTTTTTAAGAGTTATGAAACCAAAATAACAAAAATATTTTATATAAAAATATATTCCTTTTGCTGATATTATTTGATTAGTCAATAGTCTTCCGATAGGTTGAAAAGTAGTTTTTTCGTTTTTCTAGAAAACTTATAATTATTTGTATATCACTTTTGAAGTAAAGGAGTGATATGTAAGATGGAAAAATGGATATATAATTGATAAATAATCAATTATATAGTATCGTATACAATAAATAATAACGAAGTTCATAACTACTTTTACGGCGCATTGAAACACGCAATGCATTTGTTTTGTTCAGCATAAGCCTCGATCCCGAGGAAGACGTTCAAGACGCCGACCTATTTTCCATGTTGGGAACCTTCCTAGACAATGATCTCGATCTCGCGGAACGAGAGCAAGTGTTCACGAAGACAATACCGCGAATAGTGGAACAGGCGAAGGCCTTAAAATCTACAAAACCCCCTCAAGGCTTACACTTTAGCCTCCAGCAACAAGGTATTGCGAGATTCGACATTCTTCAAAGTATTGCAGTCATGTAAAACAGTACCTTACTATTCAACTATTTTTAACGATCTCACAAATCGGCACTTGCATGATAAATATATACATATATAAATATATCTATCCTGGTGAAAATTTTTCTTAGAATTCTTCATGATTTTTCAAAATTTTTATATAATCTCAAAATTTTTCAGAATTTCTATCTAATTTTATAACCTTTTAGAAATTTTCTCAGTTTTTCTTTATTTTTGAACTTTTCAGAAATACTGAAAAAATCTACAGCTTTTCTAGAATTCTTTTATACATATATATACAGTGAGAGCAAAAAGTATTCGTACAAGGAAATTTGTTATAAAAAAAAGTCTTATTTAGAAAATAAACATTAATTAGCAATTTTATACAATGAATACATTCTGTTCTAACATAAACAAACGAGCTTCGCATGTATTCCTGATTTTAGAAACTAAATTTCTCGTCTGTACGAATACTTTTTGAGCATTCAAACAATACAATTTTTAATTTTCGCTTATTTTGTTAGATAATATATTTTGTATAATTAATACGCATCTTTTTGGTATATATAATTTTAAGAAACATACAGTCTATTTTATTCTTTATGAATAAATTATTAATTATCCAACAAGAAATAATCAATTAAACGTCGATTCGACATCAATTCGATGACTCATTTCTCGCTGGATAATATTTACTTTTTGAAAATAAAGTTTTTTTTAAAAATAGTTTCTCTGTACGAATACTTTGTGCACTCACTGTATGTGAATTCTGAGATATTCTATGATTTTTCAGCCAATAATTTTCGAAGAATACTCGAAATCTAAAAAAGTTTAAAATATTTTTTTAGAAATATTCATAAATTTCAAGTATAAAGATCTTTTAAAATATCATGAGAAATTATGAAAAATTTTCTTACTTCTAAGATACAAGTAAACTTTAATAATACAAAAATGAATTCATCTTACGTAGATGACAGCGTCGAATACAGTTACGCCTTCGCCTCCTCCTTGATTGCGAACGCATTCTTCTCAACGTATCCAAAGAGAACAGCGAAGACTCACCCTACATTACGCGATTTCAACTTTACAAATTTCTTCAGACATCTTAACAAGTAAGTGATTCCCGAGCGCGCCAAATTGTCAAAGATATCTGCTACTTTGAGTTTAAGAAAAAAAGTGAGATAAATTTTTAAATATTTTATCGTTTTCCAGAAACGCACAGAAAGCCAAACTTAAAAGTATTTTTTATTATTATAATTATCTCGAGACGGAGCATGCACTCGATGGCCGTCTAATAATTTCTAGACAGGTATGCAATGCACGATTTAATTGATATATTAATTTTCTTTCTTATTTCATATTCTGAAATCGTCTCTCTCTCATTTTCTTTTTACAAAATATAAAACTTAATAATTTCGCAGGTGATGACGTCTAAGCAATGGCTGACAATCGAAGATTGGTTGGAAAGTAACGTACCTTTGTGTCCGCTGACGATACGTCATGAGGGACGGTTGGAACGAGTTGAGGCGGCATCAAAAGTATTACAAGTTTGCTTCGCGAATGCTAAAATTGGCGGCGGCGTATTGGATGGCGATGTCACGCAGGAAACTGTACATGTAACTAATTAGAAAAAATTATTATTATTATTATAATTCTTAAGCGCCAAGAATCTTCTTAATTATATGTCAGTACTTTGATAAATCTAAAATTCAGAAAAAGATAAACACAAATTGTTTAGGCTTTATTTTACGGCTTGTAATAAATTAGAGAAAATTTGCTAAGTGTCTCTTTCAATTAATTCTTAAAAAAAAAGCTTATATCTATCTAGAATAAAGATCAGAGAATTAATTTGAATAAATTACAGATCGTCTCCAGGTTCCCACCGGTCTTAGAATTATTTTCTTTGTTTAAACTCCAGATTCATTCTTCAATATATTGACATATATAATTAAAATGAATATGTGTGTATGTATCAAATCGAGATTGCAAATCTGATTCTTTTTACAGGTAGCGACACATCCGGAAATACTCGCTGCGATAATATCCGTCGAGGCCTTAGAAGACAACGAAGTACTAATAATCGAGGGTGTCAGGCATATGTCGAGGATAAACGATCCGCGGCATAAGGCGATATTCGAGGGTATCTCGAAGCCGAACGTGGTGAGTGAAGTGCGGGATCTCGGATTCGCGCGGATTTTCACGCTATCTGCGATGGGAAGGCAAACAATCGTACAGTTTTCCGAGCGCAGGTAACGGTCTGCTGCATAGATCCCGAGGACTACTCGCGATTGCCGTTGACGCAGTACGAGGAGGACAACATCTTGAGGGAGATGAACAAGTCGCTGCTGGGATTTCGTCAGAAACACGTGCCCAGCAGCCCCACGGATCCGATCAAGAGTGAACTGGAAGCGGAAATCGGCCTGGGCTCCCGCAGATTATCGCCGATCGGCGAGAGCTTCAGCAGCACACCGCCGGAAATGGAAGGCGAGGACAAAGTTTTCGCAACGAGCAATAATTCCAAGACAGGTGGGAGACCGCGTATAATTTTCCGTGCATAATTCGCTAAAACCAGTCCTTCGGTGTCTACAATCCGCTTATTTTTTTCTACGGATAGATAAGCAGGTTCTCCGCGATGAGCGACACAAATTGGAGAACGCGACGGAAGTGCGTAGCAGGCCTAACGGTAAATCAATGAGACCGCCTAGTCCTAACAAGGTGTGCAAGGACGCAAGTTACACGAACCGAAAGAACAGATTCATCGTGCTTGGATCTAGCGGCGAGGTACTGCCGGTGACGCGACAACTCGGCCAGATGTCGGTTTATAGCAGTTGCAACAGTCAGAGCACGGATAGTTTCCACAGCGCTAAGGAGACCATTGATGAGGAACCTGGTACGATAAAATAACTATGGGATGATTTATAGAAAGAAAATAAAAATGTGTGTTTCTATTAATTGAACGATTTTCAGAGGAAGAAGAGCAAAAGGTGATCAAATGTTACAACGAACAATTAGATACCCCCGAAAGAAGAGGAACCTTCGCGCAGCGACTGAAAGAAGCTCTCAAGCGAGAAAGTACGGCGACGGGGGTGACTTCCTCGAATACTTCTTCCGGCGAAAGCAGTTATGCCGTTGGTATAAGCGTTAGCGGTAGCCACGTCGGCGATCAAGACATCAAGTGAGTCGAAATTCATAAAGAAATATTAGCGCAGCGCTAAATTGATCGTGAAAAAATATTAATATGTAATTAAAGCTTGAACAATTCAACGATAAACGCAATTAAATGATGAAAGATAATATTTTTAATTATATTACATGAAAAGAACGGTTTTTCTGAAGGATCTAAAAATTTAGCTAGATACAGATTTGCAAGTAAATTTGTTGGATCATCAAAATAATTATGTAAAGTTTTAAATGTTGATGATAATGCTGCAAAAGATTTCATTTTATTCTAGCAATGACTTTGTAGTTATTAGATTCGTCCATCTGCAAAATTCTTTAAAAACGGCTTTTCAAATTCTGTTTTCGTCATTTTCGACAATAGATATTCAACAACCTTAGCTCTACTGAGGCAAAATATGAGTTCAATGAGGAAATTACATATAATATCAGTTTATTTTTAATGTTCTTCCAATACAGGTTACAGGTTTGTCGTTGTACTACTTCGTTAATCCGTTGCAACAGTTTATTCTGATGCTTCAAACAAAATAATTTTCAAATATATATCTAGCCAAGATTTTAGATATGGTAAAACCATTCTTTTCAATACTTCTCATGTATTATTTGGATTGACTTTTACAACTTTATAGATTGAGAAGAGGAGGTTCGAGGGGTTTCGTTTTGAGGGACGAAACGGTGGACGAAGAGTTCCTGAAAGAGTCTCTGGAAGCAGAGCAAAAGTGGCTTGGTCGATTCCGACAGAGTCAGGGGCCTATGTTTCAAAGGAAGGACACGAGTGCTAGCAGCAAGTATAGTTTCAGCACCGAGTACAATTCTGGCGAGTATAATTTGATAAAAATCGTTTGAGCATATTTGCTCCTGGCGAGGATGAACCAATTGAAAAACCTAAACTTTTACGCTCGTAGATTTCTGTTCTGAGCTGGAGGAGGTCTACGAGCAATTATCAAAGTGGCTGGAGGATCCGATAGTGGCGGACGAGAACCGGGAATTAGATGCAAGAGATCGGGCGGTTGTACGATTCGCCGGTTCACTTCTGAAACGCGCTCTGAGCGAATCGTTCGCCGGCGTGCCGGTCCAGGAGGGCGAGCCGCAGCCGTTCATCGACGCAGATGTAAATCAGCAGCACAAACTGGCCTTAGCTGTGAGGAGCCTCAGCTTGGAGCTCGCTCGACAGAAAAATCGGAGACAGCAATCAGTAAGAAATAAATTCGATTAAACACGTTACATGTTCTTTGCGAAAGAGATACCTGAATTAGTAGAAAGTAGAGCTCTGGATATTCAAAGCTTTAATAAATAGAAAGGCTCAAGTTTTTAGTTCCTCGCGATAAAATTCACTTTGTATAAATAATCACGAACACGATCGCGACTTTTTTGATTTCTGAAAGAAAGCACTTAAGATATAAAAATTTCCCAGCCAACTAAAAATAATATAATATCAATGTTATGATTTCGTACTCAACAATATAACTATTATGTAACATTATGTGTTATATTTATTATTGAGTACGAAATTATAACATTGGGCACATTCAACGGACTTAACAGTTGAGTGAGCGCTCGCTATTATCGATGTATTCTTTTAGATCATCCAATCAGAATTTTAGAAGAATACATCAATAGCAGCAAGCGTTCACTCAACTGTTGAGTCTACTGAACGCAGCCATTGACATAATATTACTTTTGGTTGGTGTTGATTGAGTTATTACTTCATTGCTTCAGTTTTCATTATATTAAGTCGAAACTGCTTTCTTTTGGGAACTAAAACAAACTTGACAAGCTTTTAGCAGATCCTTAATCCGTGTTAAACATACAGACACATTTGTATTATAAAAACATACAGATATACCCTCGAAATATATCTTTATTATGAGCAGTAAGATGGAATGAGAGACAGTCCGAATCGATTTGGTCGAGCGAAGCTAATCTAACGTAGAATAATCGGTAAAAGAAAAGTTTCGAGTTTGGACTATAGACAGCCGAAATGCCATACAGGTGTCTGAGTCCGAAGACGTAGATTGCTACGAGGACGCCTCGTGCGAGATGGTAAGAGAGGCGAAGGACGCCCAACGTAGGAAACTTTGGGCTGTCACGGTCACGTCGGAAGTGTTCCAAACGTTGGTCGATGATCATACGATCCTATGCCTGTCTACACCGCCCATGTCTGAGTCGGGACAGATGGCGAACGAGCGTGAAACCCGCGAAGCGAGTACGCTCGGTGTCTCGCAGGTGATTCTGATGATTTGATCGCATCACGTGTATAATCGCAATGCATGAGACAGCAACTGTGTTCAATCCGTTATTTAAAATCGCTTGGATAAAGAGCATTTTCTGTGGCTTCGGCCAAGATATAACTCGTCGGAATAAGACTGTCCGACATGTCTTCATTTCTTCTATTTTTTAAATTCTTTTTCTGTCTTTCGACTTGATGCATGACGCGCGGATTGAGATCAGCATCTTCCTCGTGTTCAAGATCCTTAGAGAACTAATACATTTATCTGTCTCTCAATCTATCCGACTTACAGTTCTTCACTCACACATTTCTCATTCTTTTGTTTTATTTGTTATTAACCACCAAGAGCGAAAATATCGTCCATATACATATTCTTCTCTTTATCGTTACGATAAAAGGCAGAATAATTCTCCATGTGAACTAAAATGATAATAACCATTTAGCTTTGTATGTAACGTGTATCTCTAGAAATCTTAATGACATCCGATAATTACGTTCCCAGCGGCAAGAACTTAAAAAATTTTTACTAATTATATATATTATATCGAGAAACGCTGATGTGCACGGCGATAAAATAATTTATAATAGACTGTTTTATCATGTGCGTAGTTGCCGCACGAAAGTAGTCCCCAAGGAGGAGGTTTATTGCCCGTGGCTACCGGCAACTGGGGATGCGGGACTAGATTGAAAGGCGATCCGCAACTGAAACTCGTTATTCAATGGCTCGCTTCCTCTATGGCAGGAACACCAAGATTAATCTATTACACCTCTGGCAATCCCAGTCTATCCAAGGTAAAGGAAATGATATTATTCTATTTATTGTCTAATCAGAGTGTTTACTGATTAACTTAGTGAAAAAATTCCGTGAGAATTCCCTGATTTTTCAGGTATTTTTGTTCGAAATTCCAGGTAAGAGAGATTAGAGAATTTTTCAATCTAACTTTGAAATAAATTAGAGTGCAAGCAACTTAAATCCTCTAATTTCCAAATAAACTATATTTGAAAATTAATAGAAGGCAAGCATTCCACAAAATTTGCAGGAAAAGGTACTACGATATATACAGCATTTTAATTAGCTATTCTATTTTGCAGAGTATTATTTTCTATTATCACTTGTTTTTTATAAACTCGCGAGACATACGAGAATGTACGTAAATATACATAAACGTGTGCCATATTTATTGATAATTGATTATTGATATTCTGTGTTATCGAGAAAAAATGACGAAAGAAACGTTTTCAGAAACAATTTAAACTTAAAAAATAAAATTCCAAACATTTCTCTGAATCCTAATAAAATTCCATAGAAATTCCTGGATTTCTTTTATCAAAGATAAAAAAGAATTTCTTTAAAAATTTTAGATTATTCCAAATAGTAAACACCCTACTAATGATGATTCAGTCACTCACACTATACTGGATTATATAATCCAGCATCTAACTATAGCGGCATATTATAATTAATTTTGACAATGAAATAATATTCTATTAAATAACGTGACAATATTATTATTGATTATTTAACCGTTTAAAATATTTAATGCTGTTACATTTAACTTTACTAATTTCATGTATAGCAGCTTTTAATATATATTAATCTAGTATAGTGCAAGTGACCGAATTCGCCATAACTATTCATCGTTCTAGCTAAAATTTCAATTTCAGTTAGACACTGTGAGCAGAGTTCTGATAGACAGACGTTGGTCGGTGGGTGATCTTGCCGCCGCGACGCTGAGGTATGCCATGCACGCGATCGAGGAACGGATGGAAGGAAAGAATAGTCTTTTCGAGGAGATCATCGGGATGGATAAATCGAGTCCTTAGCCCGATTCGATGCTGTCCGTTCTGGTGGACGTGTTAGCTACCATGATCGAAGACAGCCTACTGAAAAATTAATACTATATTACATATATACTCTTCCGAGAGAGGGACATACAAAAGGAAAAGAAACGAACGGGTACTTGACTGTAGTTAGATAAGATCGATAATTAACTCTAATTCGTAGTCTTAGATGAAACATGTTATACGAGTTTCGTTTTGGCGAAAGAGAGATCGATTCGGTTTTACTTTTTTCTTTTTTGTTCGAATTACTACTCTCGTCTAGCATATCAAAATGATATCAGGCAAATTCGCACAATTCGTTGTACAAGGCAATATATCAAATAGGAAAAAAATAGTCGCTGCGATATTTTCTATAGTCTATGTATGTAGCGTATCGTGCTATCGAATCAAGTTATATTATAGGGATCATCTGTGTCACATTTCCGCAAGGTAATGGAAAAAAATAGCGTGATATCTCGGAAGTTCAGTTGTCATTAATGTCACGTCATCGTAAGAGAGCGTGGCAAACTCTCTGCAATTAGAAATCCTATAATAAGAGTTTGATCAAAGCGGATAAAAAATAGAAGATAGATAGCTATGTTTTTCTTTCCTTCTTTTTCTCACTTTCTCTCACTTTCCGAAAATGTACGAACTATACATTGAATGGATCATAAGTGATGATCAATCAAAAGACTGATTCACTTTGGCCAGACTTTTATTATAGAGTCTATCTGCAATCATAACGGTCTAGTCATGTACGAAAGGTCAATTCTGGTTTTACTTCGTACAGAATAAGTAACTGATAACGCAGTTACATGCAATAACTAATGAGGCACAATATACTATATTTTGTACAATAATATTTTTAAGTCGTTCTATATTTTAAGTCGGAGATATATATGCGTAATATGCGAATAGATTTTTAGAGAGAGAAACTTTTAGTATTTTATAATAAAAGATTATAATATATAGGCAATTTTTTTATGAAGGTAAAATTTGTGTGTATACAAGTCGCTACTATGGAATCATAAATTGGGATATAAAGAGTGGGTAATATATGGCCTATAAAGGAAAAGGTATGCTTGGTAGTATGTAAATCAATTAAAATGAGGTCTTCCATTATTAAAGCAAAACGTGTGAAAGTATCCTGATTTGTATATATTCTCGCTGTACTTCTCATTCTAAGCAACGATAGGAGTGTTTAAAAAACATATATATATATACACACATACATACACATATATATATATTTATATATGAAGTACATAATAATAAAGAACTATGCCCAGTTTTTCTTATAGAAATTGAGACTCGGGTGAACAGTATTGAGACATGGCTAGAATTATATGGCATCAAAAAAGAATCAAAAAGTTCCATATGCACAACCTTGTAAATAACTCCCTTGAATGCTAGAACTGTCCAAAGTTTGCTATTATAAATATGTATTGTACTATGTACCACTGGTCTTATCTGTTTTCTCTGCGTTCAGGGCATCTCTTCGCGATGACGGCGGTAATCTTCATTAGTATGATATATCCAATCGATTCCCCATTTGATGACTGATTTTCAAAATGTCGCTGCTATTCACTACATGTTCTATCATATCAGACCCTGAGCAGTCAGAGAAGACTGCACAACTTATGTTGGATCGACTGTACAAATCAAATATGTTATTTTGATCAGTCCAAGAATAAAACCTGAATCATAAATTGCCGTATTTGTCTTGTTGCATATAAATTAGAAGGGTTTTCAGTACTGACAAAGGATGATTTAGCATGTGGTTATTATCGGGCAATATTTTATACAGATAAGTCGTGATGTTTGAGGTGACAAATTTTGCTAATTACGGCAGCCATACATAACGCTATCCTCGTCAAAGCCCAAATACAATCCAGGTACATAAATCATACTCGTTACTGTACGTACGGCAGAACATGATGATGGAGCTCGAGCCAGTTCAGAATATTGGTCTTGTAAAAATGGATGTCATACGGTTGTATGTTAGCCTATGTGATAACAGTCATGATATCTGGGATGCTCTATATTTTGACGAAAACATCCATGTGCCAGCAAGAGCATTAATGATGTTTTTCTAGTTTTAGAGAGCTCCGATAAGGAAGAAGTAACTGAAGAGGGATAACATCCGTACGTTAATCAGAGTTCAATTTGGCAATTAAAATTTTTTATTTCGTATTCTGTGAGTGCCTCCTATCGATTAATATACGATTTATGACTGTTCACTCGGAGCCTAAACTAGGCATATTTCTTTGTATCACAAGATGTAATTTTGCATCTATTAGAGATTTATTATTGAGTATACTCTTTTTTTATACTTGAGTATACTTTATTTAATATATATATATACAAAATTTGCAATATAAATTTTATTTTATTTTTTTATAATATAATTTGACTAAATATTAAATCGATGTTAACGTAAAGCAAAAAAATCTCTTGAAACGCATCACAGTTTTTATTAATATCACACGTTATTGTTAATTGAAATATGTTAAAACATACCATTTATACAAGACAGCATTTAATAAATATTACTTCTGAATGATATTAACGATATAATGTATGTTTCGGGTGATTCTTACTCTCTATCATTTGCTATTACATTTTATTTCAAAAAGACTGCTATGTAACTTCTTTACTTTATTTATATTCGATACAACGTACCTCTAGAAGTACTATCCCTCGATTAAGTTGGCTGTTTAAACTTTAATCCTGAGTTCGATGCTTAGTTATCTAAGAAGTAAAAAAAGACATGTATAAAAACAATAGAGTCTATTTACATATCAGAAGAAGAGACTTCGTAGACGACGTCCCACGCCTTGTCTATCGTACAGGATATTAAATTTGTTTACAAATTGATTTATATTATTACAGCCTTTAGTTATGATACCGAGATACGTCATCAAGCCAAAATCATTGCATTGCTGTTAACATAAAAAATAGATTAGATTAAAACAACTAATTAATAAAACTATATTTTTATAGAGTATTCTTTTAAATGCATATATTAATGTATATAAGCATATACTAACATTGTAAAAGTCAGCCTTAAATTTCGGATTGTTCAGAACAGGCAGTCGATGACTCAAAGAACATGCCGCTCGAAGAACTTCATGGTTTCCTTTTAATTCTCCATTCTGTACCGCTTGCACATATCTTAGAACGAGTTTTACCCTCGCATGTAACATTTTGATGGCACTGTGTTGTGCCGTTAAGTGTTCAGCCACTGAAGTTAGATATTTGAATTATTTGCTGTTGATTCTGATAATTTATCGCAGTATAAAAGTTATCTTAATTGCATTGTTGTATTACTCACCTACTGAGCATTCGCCTTGATCGTTGTTACACATCCTTTGTACGTGATCGACTCCAATTCTCTCAGCTTCCTCGGTGGCTAACGTGTAAGTTAATGGAACAAATAACATGGTAGCTTCACCATTAACTAAATCGATCACCGATTCATACATAGAGACAGATAAGTGCTGCAACAATTATTCTTAAATACTTTCATGTATTTAAAAACTAATAAAAAAAAGAAAGATACTTTCTCACAGAAACATATTTTAATAAAAATAAATTCATACACTCATTTATATATCTTCTCACCTCTGTGTTTTTTGGTCTTGGATCCAGTTTCAGTAACACAGGACTTTCATTAATTTCGCAAAGTTGCTTGTGCACTCGAATGTCTTTCTCAGTAGGCATATCACCGGTTGTATACCAGCCCAAAAAGTCCATTTCACTGAAAACTTGTTTAAATTGCTCCTCCTTTGTGGTATAATATTCCCTATCGATTATGACATCATCGCCGATGCAAGCGAACAGCAGCTCGAAGGAGTTCATAATTTCTATGTTACGACCCTTCTGCTTACCGATCAGAGCACCATACACTGAAAGTATTTTGACGTTAGAAACAGTACTAATTCATAGAATTATTAATAAAATTTATCAAATTTATGATTATGATCTCTGGAAATACTTTAACTGCATATTAATATCTCAAAATCATTTCAGAATTTGCATTGGTCTGTATTCATATATCTCACTTTCATCAATAAATATGTTCATTTATTTCTGAGATTCTATAGTACATATAATATAAAAACAATATGCTAGATGCACGTAATAAAATATGGCTCAAATAATTAAAATAAAAGAAATCGTGCTAAAAAGGACTACAAGCCAAACAAACAAATTTTAATGTACGTAATACGACAGTTGACATTAAATAAAACATAAAAGTAAAAACTTTTAATCATTTTTTTATCATTGTATCTCTATAAGTATTCTTTTATTTAAATATAGTAATATATTTTTATGGTTTCATTAAGTATTCTTTTGTTAGCCTAATTTAGTAAACCGGTTTACATTTATATTAGTTTTATAACTTTGAAAATAATCTGATGGGGGTCGAAACATTAGTTCTATGTAGACATATTTTTATCTTTTTTACTTTTATTTTTTATTTAGTGTCAACTGTATCATATTACGTACATTAAAATTTGTTTGGCTCATAGCCTTTCTTAGCACAATTTTTTTTACGCTAGATTTACATCTATCTATAAAAGTAAGGTATGAATATAAATATATATTATCATTTACAGTTAATATATAATGCCAAAATTTTTAGCATATAATTAGGCCCCTACTCTGTAACTCTTAACACCAATAACGATATTATTACATTGTAGTATAATTTTATTCATGATAAAAAAAAGCTGTACAATGACTATTGGTACTTTCCAGCAAGAAACTTAATGCAACTCTGTGATCGTTTCATCTTTGTTTAACTTTGGCAAACAACAAGGACGTAAGAGTGTCATTTCATTTGTGCGTTTTTGTCGTACGACAAATGTGTACAGAACGGAGAGGTCCTTGGATATTTCTACTCCATAGCCAATCAACAGACTTGAAAAATTTGTCGTACAACAAAAACGTACAAATGAAATATTACCTTAATAATTTACTATCTTACACTGTGTCTCTCTGTCACTGTCTCTTACACTATCTTACTCTCTGTTTCTTGCTGGAAGGCACCTGATATAACAACACTGATACTGTCGTTGAGTTATAGAATAGGGGGCTTAATTGGCAATGTATGCTAATGTTTGCATCTACTATTGGGCTTGCTGTTAATTATTGAGGGGGGAAACCTTACCTAACTGGTCACTGCCCTCCTGAGCCCTGAGCCTGGTCCAGTGCTCACTGACATTCATGATCACCAACGGATGCAAGCTGATGGATACGGAGCCGATGGTGCCCGAAGAGGCCATGACTTTGACACTTCCGGACATCCTTGGTGTTCTATCGAAGGTGTCCTCATCGATTTCCATCGCCGTTTGTTCGTTTGTATTTTCTTCAGGCACGTCGACCTCCATGGCGTTTCCCGGTCGTTTACGTCTTCGCTAGCTTTGCTTGATCCGTGAAAACCAGTGCGGAGATTCCAGACAAAAAAGAAAGAGAGACAAAAAGGAGCAGACGACAATTCCGTGGAAACTAATTGGAACTGATCAACGCGAATCCCCTGAAATCACCGAGATATCTGTCGTACAACGAACAAATCAGGGCCGAAGCGATCCAATGCGGACGGCCATCTGCGGCCATCGCGTCGATCCTTTCTCATCGAGAAAGAGAAGTCGCGTCGCGTCGAGAGAGATCGATATCTCGAGATATATCGACTATCTCGTGCAAGATTTCAAAAACATTGCTGGATTTACACTGCATCCGATTTGCGTCGTACGACGCTCTTCAACCAATCAGAAAACAGAATTCCGATAAGCAAAATCCGTCGGAATCCTGTTTTCTGATTGGTTGCAGAGCGTCGTACGACGCACATCGGATGCAGTGTGAATCCAGCATAATGCTCGACGCTCATTTTCAGCGTCAAAACAGGTCACGTGATCAAGATTGACGCTTGATATTCGTCAATTTCTTTCACGTGTCTTATTTTGACGTCGAAAATTAACGTCGGTATGAAAAGGCATCTTGACATAACTCCGAATTCAAATAACCGCGGCAACGTGGCGGCATATGATATCACGTTCTCAATGGGCGCATTCAGCGGACTCAATAGTTGAGTGAGCGCTCGCTGTTATTGGTGTATTCTTTTAGCTCATCCAATCAGAATTTTAGATTTAGAAGAATGCACCAATAACAGTGAGCGCTCACTCAACTGTTGAGTCCGCTGAATGCACCCAATGACTGCGTTCAGCAGACTCAACAGTTTTGTAATCGTTTTGGGATTCTTCGCTAAGATAGGACTATTCCTTTAAATCTAAAAGTACAATCCAATCAGCGCGACGAATCATAAAACGGTTGCAAAACTGCTGAGTCTACTGAGCGCAGTCCATGGTTGCGTTCAGCAGAGAAAGCAGCTTTGCAACTGTTGTAAAATTCTTGAATATGATTGGTTTATACATTTAGATCCAATGAGGAACTAAGGGCAAGACCAATCATATTGAAGAATTTTACAACAGTTGCAAAGCTGCTTAATCTGCTGAACGCAGCCATTGGTTGTTGGAAATATATGCTCGAGAGTAATGCCAAGTCTATTCGAAAGTTATCTCTTATATGCGATTTTCTCAATACATTTTAGCTGTAATTTGCGCTTTTTTTGCATTTTCCTCTCCAAAAGTCACTCGAAAATTCTTCTAAACTTTTTGCACCCCCAAAAGATCTTCTCTCTCTCTCTCCGATAAAAAGAAAAACCAACGCGACAGACTTCATGCAGCGACCTACGTTACCTACGTTTTGCTGCGTTGTCGCCGAGTTTCCGGGTCGCGGCGTGTCACGTTTAAAGGGCAAAGGGGAACGATTCGCTTCGTCACGGAACTTTCGAGTATATGTATAATGGCGAGTTCTTTCTATTTGCGTTTTAGCAAGTGAGATTCTCGCGTCATATCCGATCGTGA